AGCACAAACCATACAAGAAGTTGTAAATTGTACCTCATCAAAATTAAAAACTTCTGTTCTTCATAGGATTCCAATAAGAAAATTAAAAGGCAAGCCAAAGATAGGGATGAAATTTGCCAATACTTTCTTACAAAGGACCTGGATTCAAAATATACAAAAAACACTTACAACTCAATAAGAAGAATAGCTCAGTGAAAAAAGATATTCAGATGACTAACATGCACATGCAAAAATGTTCAACACGTGGAGTGCCTTGGTGGTAAAGTCAGTTAAGTGTCCAACTCCTGGTTTTGGTTCAGGTCCTGATCTCAGGGTCATGTGAGATGGATGGAGCCCCTCACCAGGCTCCACACTCAGCACCCAGTCTGCTTAAGATTCTCTCTCCCTTTGCCCCGCCCCCTGATCACGCTCTCTCTTTCTCTCTCTCTCAAATAAATAAATATTTTTTAAAAAGGTTCAACACACCATTCATCAGTGTGAAAATGCAAATTAAGACCACAATGAGATATCAATACATATCCACTAAAAGGGCTGAAATTATAACCGCCAGTAGCTGACAAGAGTACAGAGAAATTAGAACTCTCATACATCACTGCATAAAATGGTACAATCACTTTGGAATACTATTTGGCCATTTCTTATGAAGTTAAACATAGGCATACCATATGATCCAATAGTCAGGTCCTAGGTATTTATCCAAGAGAAATAAAAACATATGCCCACATATGTACACGTACACAAATGCTTATTGTAGCTTTATTTGGAACAGCCCCAAACTGGAAACAATCCAAATGTCTATCAACTGGTAAATGAAGAAACACAGAGTGGTACGTCCATACAGTAGAATACTTTTCAGCAGTAAAAAGGGATGTGCTACTGATATATGTAACAATGTGGATGAATCTCAAAAACATCATTTTGAGCAAAACCATTCAGGCACAAAAGGCTATATACCACATGATTCCATTTATGTGAACTTCTACAAAGGGCCAAACTAATCTATAAGGACAGAAAGCAGAGAAGTGATGATCTGGGGCTGGTGGGGGAGGGCTGGTTGCAAAGGAGCATAGGGATCCTCTGGGCTGATGGAAATGTTCCATGCAGTAGCTGTGGTGGTGTTTATACAAGGGTATGCATTTGTTAAAACCCCAACTGTGCACTTAGAACGCATGCATTTTACTGCATGTAAGGTTGATTAGGGAAAACAATTAAAGTGGTGGTTTGCTTTCTTCACAATGATGACACCTCCATAAGCCAAAAAGATGGTTAGAGCCCCAGCAAGTACCAAAAGTGAGCCTGGACAGGCACCCAATCAGGCCCTTTTCATCCACCATCTCAGTGAAGCCTCGCATCAGCCCCTAAGATAGGTATTATCATCACCTAAAGCTCAGCAAGGTTAAGACATTTGCCCAAAGCCACACAGCTAGCAAGACAAAAGGCCAGGATTTAAACTCAGGTCTAGCTGACTCCAAAGCCTGTGCTTTCATAAACTTCTCTGTACCCTCTGTAGAGAGGAAGGGATCCTAACTAGTGCAGAGGTCATGCATTATAAAAGCACCGCCGAAGTCAATCAGGATTTACAAAGTTGTATCCACAGGAATGACTTCGAGTTATGAAGCTATTGGGATGACTTAAAGACTGGATTGGGTGACGAGGCCTGTCATGGGCTCCACTCACCACATAATACAGAGCATGTTCATTTATAAAACACCGCACCAGTTAATATTTGCAGAATTCCCAAGCCATCCAAGCCAGAACATGAGCTCTTGAGCAATCTTAGACTTCCAGGCCAGGATCAGCCCATTAGAATTAGGGAAACTTAGGACCTCCAGGTGCTATAGACCTTGGAGGCAAGTGACCTGACCAAGTGACCAAGCCGGGGAGGGAGCCACCCTCCACCCCCTTACCCTCCAGCTCCTTGTAGCTGTTGCTCCCCTGGATGATCACACAGTATTCGCTCTGCAGACTGTTCCCTGGAGGGCAAAGAGCCCAGACTGGGGGCAGAACCTGGTTTCTGTCCTGCCTCTCCCATTGATTTGCTGTGTGACATAGGGTGAATCACTGAACTTTTCTGATCCCCGGGTTCCCTTGGGGAACTATTTACACCATCCTATAGACCTCAAGAATGGCTCTGAGGATCAGATGAGAGAGAGAGGCTGTATGAGAAAAGTAATTTGTAAATCACTGCAGTACTAACTTAGGTCATTATCAGCATCACCAGAATTCAGCTCTGGGTTCGTACAAAAGCCCCAGAAACAGTTGCCAGCTTACTGTGGTTTGGGGATGATGGTTGCTTCATTTGAAAAATGGGAATAATCGTACATGACCTGCTTGAAACAAGGGGTTGGACCAGAGATGCTTTGGGGACACGTCCAACTCTTCAGTTTATGATTCTGTGATTTCAAAGACCCCAAGAAGATTGGTTTCACCTGCTCTCCTCATGTTTGAATTTGCTTTTACCAAATGCCCAAACATTTCATCTTATAATCGGAAATGAGACTTTAAGTGCAAATGACCTGGAGAAAGGAGGAACACATTGCCTTCCATTCTCACTATAGTGTGGATGACTGATATCAGATTCCTACCAGAGAGCAAATTCTGATGGGAAGCTGGAGAATCTGGCCTGACTGAGTCACGATAGGGCTTCCTCAGTGAGAACTCAGGCTGAATCCTGTCCATTCTCTGAGACTAAACACATAACAGCCCAAGGCCCCAGTTTTAGCTTATTCTCCAAGTATTTGTCCAGCTACCCAGACTGGGAGGAGTGGTGGCTGGAGTCTATTTTGTCAGCCTTGCTTAGTTGGGTTCATGACCTGAAAGAGGTGACTCTAGGGATGCCTGAGTGGCTCAGATGGTTAAGCATCTGCCTTTGGCTCAGGTCATGATCCCAGGGTCCTGGGATCGAGCCCCGCATCGGGCTCCCTGCTCCGTGGGAAGCCTGCTTCTCCCTCTCCCACTCCCCCTGCTTGTGTTCCCTCTCTTGCTGTGTCTCTCTGTCAAATAAATAAATAAAATCTTTAAAAATAAAAAAAAGAGGTGGCTCTATACTCATATGATCCCTCTCAGCCCTAACCCAGGCCTAATCAACCATCCCCGCCCCTCTGATTTCCAAGGTTGCCCCCCTGCTCACAAGTCTCAAATTCTACCCCTGTGCACTGCCACAAACTCTTTTCCCTTCCAACCATATCAGCCAGAGTGGTCCAGGCCCCCTGGAGCCCCTCTCTCCTCACCCCACCTGGCCCTTGCCCCATCCCCAACTCCAAAACATCCGAAAAGAATTGTGGAAATGAGCTGATGTCCAAGAGGATGCAGGTGCATTTGTCCTCTTGCTCTCCATTTCGGCTCAGAAACCCCTGTCAGGGCTGGGATACCAAGCTACTATGCCTAATCTCCTCACTGGCATTAGCCGAGCATTTACTATGTGCTAGATACTATCCTAAGTGCTTTCCATGTACTAACTCATATAGTGTTCATATGAAATAGGCACTATTATCCTCATTTTACAGATGAGAAACTGAGACACAGAGAGGTTAAGTGACTTGGCCAAGAGCAAGGGCTAGCAAGTAGCTGGGTTGGGGATTGAACCCAAAGTCTGTGCCCTCGCCATTATACCCTGCCTGCTGAGGCAACAGCAGTGCCTTCAAGCCTGAAATCACTGTCAAACAAACATGTTTGTGCACTGCTCTCTGGGTGGAAATAGAGGCTCAGTTCTATCAAGTTCAGCCCCTTCTTTGTACAAAAGGGTCACTGAGGCCCAGGGACTGGTCTTCCCAGGTCACCAGCAAGCTGAGCTCAGAGCTAGGGTCTGGGCTGACCTGCCTACCCCACCCCACCCCCTTATATTTCAGGAGAGGCCACTGCTCATAGCCAAGGCACGTTTTTAACCAGGGTCATGACCCGGAAATTAGTCCACAGCCCTTAGCTCTGCCTGTGTCGGGACTTCTCAGATCCTTACTCCCCTCCCTGGCAGGTCCTTAAGAACAGTCTCTGGCAGGTCACTGGCTTGGTGTGTTTTCTTGCCTTTGCTTTAGGCAGGCTGTAAACCTCACCCTGATTTGGAGTGAAGATCACAAAAAATGACAAGATTAAAGTAACAGCCTGTACATATTTGGAGCAAGCATTGGGTGGAGGTCACCTGAGTGCCTTTGCACCCACGACCCCACCTCCCACCCAAGTCCCCAGGTCAGAGAAGAAGGGACAATTGCCCAGTAACTTGCGCTGCGTTCTCTCTCCACTCCCTCCCGCTCCCTCCCCTGGTGTCTCCCCAACTCTGATCCTCCTTTTCCAATCATGTAGCCCTCCTCCCTTCTCACTCTTGTTGGTCATTCTCCCCAGAATTCACCCGACGCCAGGTCTGAGATTTGGCTGGGCTTCCCTAGCGGAAGTTTCCCTCCTGCATCTCCCGCTGACACTCCCCACCGTCCGCAGGTCCGCATTGCCCTGGTATCCGCGCGTTCCCCGCCCAGCCACCCAGCCCGCAGGGTCTCGGTTGCGCAGGGGGAAGGCAGAGGGTGGAGAGAGAGCCCGGGGCGAAGACTGTGGCTGGACGGAGACCAGGTTACGAGCAGACAGGGCACGGAGTGAGGATCCAGAGAGAGCATCCGAGCGCGGGAGGGACGCCTGGACCGGCAGGGACCGGGCGCGCCGTGCGGATGGGGCCAGGGTCCGAAACGTGTGCAGAGTCCGGGAGCTCGGGCCGGGGTCCTAGGCCGGGCGGAGTGGGCGGGATGAGGTCTCGGACAGGGCAGGGTGGGAAGGGCGGCGGCGAAGAGGACCCAGTGGGACAGCAGATCGGGGCCGGAGCTGGGGAAGCCAGAGACCGAGCTCGGGGCGCGAACTCCGACAGCGAGCCGGGACTGGGGTCCGCCGGGGGCTAAGGTCTGAGTTCGAGATCCCGCCGCGGCCGGGGCCAGCGGAAGGGAAATGTTGGCCCTGCTCTAGCCGGAGGAGGGGAGGCAGGCGGGCCGGGGACGCGGGCCGGGGGCGCGGCGGGCACTGACCCGAAGTAGGCGGCGGCGGCAGCGGCGGGCAGCGCCAGCAGGCAGAGCGCGGCCAGGGCCAGCGCGGGCGGGGGGCGCATGGTGCCGGAGGCGCGGCGCCCTGTCGCATCTCCTCGCGCCGCTCAGCGCTCGCAGCGCCGCCACCAGCCGCCCGTGGGGCTTTAAAGCCGGGCGGGGCGGAGCGGGGATAGGGGAGGGAGCGGCTCTGGCGGCATTCCCCCCCCCCGCCCCGGGCGGTGAGCCCCCCGCCCCATTGGCCCCGCCGGCCTCGCCCCGCCCCATCGCGGGTGGGGCCGCCGCCCAGGGCCCGCCCCCGCCCCGCCCCCATCTCCGTGTCTCAGCCGCCCCAGGTGAGAGCTCACCTGACGCGGTGCCCGCCGGGGGCGCGCCGGCTGAACGGGAAGGCCCCCGGGCCTGGAGAGGCGGGGATGCGGGCCCGAGGCGGAGACCAGGGAGTCTTCGCATCTCCCGGCGGGGTGGAGGGACGCGCAAGATTCTCTCCCCCGAGGTACGGGGGGTGGAGGCGCAGAAGGAGGGAGGCTCCTGGAGTCTGCGGAGAAGCCGTTTCGTGTCCGCTCTCCTGCGCGGGGGTGGGGTGTGTGTCTCTCTGCGCAGTCCCAGGACTCTGAGGGCAGGGCCGGGTCCTAACGCAGAGCCGCTCTCCCGGAACCGGAGATCCACGTCTAATGAATGGCTGTGGCGGGGGGGGGACCCTGCTGTCCAGGAAAAGGAATCGTGGCGGGGTATCCCTTAGAGCAGAGGAGGGGGAAAGATCGATCCCTCTTTCTGAACGGGAGACCGTCAAGGGCAAGGTGCGCAGCGCAGGGTGGGAATGGGAGGGCCAGAGACGAACCTGCTTTCCAAAGTGTGTGGATGCCAGACCTCTGTCCGGCAAGATGGGAATCTCCGGTGTTGGGCCACAAAGCTCTGTCTTGCTTATCCTTTTTTAAAGTTTAACCCCAATTCCTGCAGCGAAGGTGCAGTGACCGAGGCAGTAGGTGACACCACTCTATGAGAGAGACATACAACAAATGACCCAAGCAAGATTTTAAATGTTGTTGAGAGTCTTGAGCACTGGGTCGAATAAAGCAAAACAAAATATAACTTGTACTGAATGTCAAGATCTGCACGCAAAGTTTCCAGAATCGCGGCCATGCTTGTAGAACACCAGCGGACAGTGACCTTGGCTTTGCGGTGGACACCAATGTGATGGGGGGGAGCTGGGAGGCTTGTGGGGAGATGGCGGCTTCCACCTTAGGCAGGATGAGCAGAGGAAGCCCCTACCACAGTGAGCCTCTCTGAGCTCAGTTTCCCTGCTGAGTGGAGTGATTAGGTGATCAATGATCTTTAACAACTCTGCCAGCCCTGTCATTTCTCATGGTCCTGTTTATTGAGGTGCACAGCCCAGTGTGGTGAGCTGGGACCTAGAGTCAAGTCATGGAAATCGTGAACCCTGGATATGAAATGGGGATGCTGACCACTATCTCACAGGATTTTTGTGCAGAGTGATCGCAAATGCCTAGCAGGTGCTAGTGCGATGTTCACACAGTGGGCAGGACCAGTGGTGTGTTGGTGTTTTACATGCTTTCAGAGCATGGATGGGTGTCCAATTTGTATCATTTCCCAATTTCTGTGCTGTAAATATTCCCACCATGGCTGATCTCAAGAGTTCTGCTTCTGCCTCCCCGCTCCTCTGATGCCAGGGCTTCAAAGAATTGCCCAGGTGGCAACTCCTACTGCTGATCATAATTCCAGCAGCAGTTCCCATGTACCGTGTGTGTGTGCGTGTGCGTGCATGCCAGGCGTGGCACGTGGTCTCACTGAAACCTCCCACCTGCTGCAAGGTCAGGGCAATCATGATCCCTATTGCAGGTGAGGAAACTGGAGGCTCAGAGAGGTTAAGTAGCTGGTGAGGGTGACCTAGCTGTAAGTAGTGGACCCAGGAGTGGAGCCCAGGACCAGCAGAACTGTCACACTTGTTGTGGCCCACGGTTGGCTGTGGATGGCTGAGGACTGCTCAGGCACAGCCTGACTCACACTGGCCTTTGCATAATTCATCCTTACGGAGCATCATGTACCTCCAAAGGGGCTGCCGCCTGGAGTGGGAGATGTTGGTGAAGGCATATCATCTCCACAGTGGCGGGGCTGTGGAGTCCCCGAGGAAGCACATGAGGGGCGGCCCTCAGGACTTAGAGCCTTGTGCCATTGGCAGTTAGTTGCTCCCACATCCTGTGAGCCTGACTTCTCTCCGTATGTCCAGGGGTGGGCACAGGACCCAGCACATAGTGGGTGCTCAGGAAATGTGTGTTGTTGCCAGCTTACAACCCGTCTATGGTCTTTGTGCGGGGCTGCAGAGATAGAAAGTGTCATACTGACAAAACGCATGCTCACAGCATCCCCTCCCAAGCTCAAGACACACGCTCCATCACACACACACACACACACACACACACACTTACAACTTTGACACTCTACAACACAAGTCCAGGCATTCAGTGACACACAGACTCCCCCGCACCTCCCCCACGGATGTCTAAATTCCTAGGCAGACCCACAGCTGCTCCTGGACCCACAGGTTCACACAGGTATGCGGGAGAAGAATTCTTAGACAGCCACATGCAGCTACCTGTCTCCATTAACCAGCCCAAGGCAGCCACGCTCAGGGATGGAGTCCTCCCCTCCCCCTCCATGTACACACACACACACACAGTTTGGAGGGCACAAGCATGTGCCTGAATGGTTTGCAAAGACTGCACAAATCCAGTTCCTGTGTCTCTCCAGACCTTCCTCCTCCCCCTGAAGCCTGTCCTCAGATCAGGCTGCCCTGCCTGATTCTAACACTCAGGAAGCATCCAGCTTTGTCTGGCCCCAGGTACCCCAGGACTCCAAGCTCCAGCTCAACCCAGGCCCCAGACAGAGCCCAGCAATCACACGATCTCCCAAGCTAACCACCAGGCCATAAGCAAGTGGAAATGAGGAATTCCAGGCTGGCTATCTCCCTCTGATCGCCCTCAAAGCTGCACAGAAAATGGACTCAACCTGACAGGAAGTGGGGCAGGCGATGGCCCAGCAGCTGTGAGGGAAGGCACCAGTGCCCGGGCTGGTCCAAGGCAAGGCTGCTCAGAAAAGCTGGTCCTGGGGAGGCTCGCCTGCCCTCCCCACCTCCTTGTGACCCAGCCTTCTTTGCTGGGGCCTTGCTATGACTGCTTCTGTTCTGACCACTCCCATCCATCCTACCTCTGCACATTTGAACCAGACTTGACCCTCGCTTGCATTATTTGACTCTGCGGCATTGTGCGGTAATATGCTGGGCATCCATCACTGTCCTCACTATTCGTATACAACCCTAAAGGCCAGAAAGGTGAGTAACTTCTTCAGTGTCATAGAACTCACTGGCACTTGATGGTTGGGGATTTGATGTTTTCAGAACATCAGACTGAGATGGGACTGAAACTCAGTGGGGAGAGTGGGCTACCAAATCCCTCGCACAGGAGACTCAGGGCTATGTGTGAAAAGAACAACAACAACAAAAAAGACAGTGGAGAGAGACACCAAAATGTTAAAAAAAAAAAAAAAATAGTGGATGCCTTGGAGGTTGAAAGCCTGGGTAGAAAATGTTTTAATCTTCTTTGTATTTTCGAATTTTCTATCACAAGCATGCTTAACATTTATAATGAAAATTCCCTAAAAAGGGGAGAGGACAAATACCCAGAATAATATCTAATGATAGGACTTTAAACATTGTCAGGAAAGGTATTTGGGAGGGGGAGAGGGAAACATGCTGGATATCCTCCTATGGCAACCCTCCATCTACACTTCTGTAGGAAGTGTCCCTGTTCTCTCTTGGGGAGCTCACTCCAGAGTTGGCAGATCTCCCCAACCCATGGCTATTCCAATTCAAAGCCATCTTGCCTCGATTCCTCTCTCCCTTTCTCACCTACCTCATTCCAGAACAACACCCTGAGTAAAAACTGTGTTGTGTGGAGGAAAGTATGACCCTCCCTTGTCCCCTGCCTGCATGAGGCTCTTCTCCAGCCCTTGATACAGCAGTATCTTTGAGCTTAGCCAAGGAAGACTGAATGCAGAGGGGTGCCCTTTAGCACCCCTCCACCCAGTCACACTTCCCTTGCCAAGGCCAGCAGGTTTCCCGCTGTGGTGCACCACCCCTGCTGGAAGCCCTGCCTACCTTGACTGACCACTCCTGGATCTGCTCACTCACCACTTTGGACCTCAAGACTTGATTGGCACAACTTAATTTTATGCTAGTGATTATGTTAATGCACACTCCCTTTGAGTTTGGGGGATGTTAGGTACCCCTGCTGTGTGTAGGTTACAGATTTCTCAAGGACCAAGACCTTGACCCCTGCTTTTTTATATATGCTGAGCTTCAGCCCACAGAAATCATTAAATATTTGAATTAATGAATAAATAAACACTGGACCGTGGATAGGCCAAACCTGACTTACTGATGGCTACAAACTCTGCCCTCGATTTTGTAATCTTCATGAGACACATGATGTTCAGCCCTCTATACTAGCATGGTTAGAACTGGAGGGAGTGTTCTGATCAGTCCGGTTCTGTCTAGGGATCATGGGTAGTTTTGTAGGTAGATGGGTAGGTAGGTAGGTAGGTAGGTAGGTAGATAATAATCTGGATGGACAATCCCAATTTGAATAGCCTGCTCTGTCGTCCCCATACGTAACTCATAAATGTTAGGTGACATATACGTCCATGCTCTGCCTGGGCACCAGACTCACCATCGATATACCCACCCCCTGGGTCCTCGCTTCCAGGAACATTCGAGTACAGCGAGATGACTGGCCACGCAGCGCTGGGCGGCATCCATTCTGTCTTTGACTATTGTGAATCCTCCACAGGGCTTTCCCAGGGCAAAGCACTAAGGAGAGACCCTACTTTGGGATGTCTTACAGCAAAAAGGTGTTCCATGCAAGGCATGGCTACAAATACAGCTCAAAGAAAGAAAAATGGAGGAAGAAGGAAGGGAAGAAGGAAGGCAAAAAAAAAAAACCCACAAAAAAAAAAAAAAAACACAAAAACCAAAAGACCTACACAACTTTCTTAGCAAATAGAAATGAAAAACAATCCAGAATTTACTACAAATAACATTCTAAAG